ATCTGCTGTATTTACCTGAGGTCTATCTTGTTTACTTTCACTGGTAGCAATGAGATTGGTTTTATCCTGATACAGATGAGACTGTTGAGTCTGAGAGGGGTTAAATAACTTGTCTAAAGATCCACAGTCATTATGCAGCAGAGTGCATGTTTTAACTCCAGACTATGTTCTTTTTTCCTTTGTCCTTTGAAAAGAAAGGTGTTCTTGACTGATATGGGATGTGATTGAAAATTTAGGCACCGCCCTCAGTTTCCCTTGTGTCTTCTTCCATCTTCATTTTTTCTTAATACTGAAAATGGCTTCTTGCTCTCTTATCCCAAAGAGATAAATTTCCTATATCCTTCTAAGAAGCTGTCTCCCAAGCAGAGGCATAGCAAGAGGGATTTCTTAAAATAACTGTTTAAGAGTGTTCTGGTTTATGGGCAATCTGTAAATTATGGGGAAAAGGCTTTGGTTGGTTGTGATAACACAACACTTCTTTACCACCTGATGGCCATTTGCAGAAGGAGGAGGTGTGTGATGAGTCCAAAGTTTGGTGGTGGTGGGTTCTTGGCTGAGGGTTCATTCTTCAGGCCTTGCCTTCTAGTTGGGGACACTGTCCCCACCCTACCCCACTCCCATCCCTTCATCTGGACGGAGCCGCCAAGGAGTCCAATCCCAGATCTGGCTCAGTTGTGTCCATGGCACAGGAGACCCTGAAGGAGCAGGGGTACCAGGGACTCTGGATCTGTTCCTGATTCCTTCTTTGGTCCTGGCCAGTGCCAGCCTGCCCGAAACACTTGCAGCTCTAACCACTTTTACTAAAGGAAAAGTACTTTATAAAATGGAATGGAAGCTGGCAATTCAGTATGGGTGGGATAAGTCAAGGCTACTTGCCCAAGACTTATCTGAATCAACAGTTCCTGCCTACTTCTGATTCTACTTTGCTGAACATGAAAGCTTAATGCACTATCTAAATCACGGCTCGCCTGAGAGTGCATCAGATAACGGGTTGCTAATTGAGGCTCACTTTCTAAATTTCAGAACCCTAATCCTACACCCTTATCAACTTCGAGGTGCCAAACTGACCTTTGCGTGGTGCAATTCATGTGGCTATGACGTCTGTCACCAGATGCTGTCATTCTGAAACAAGACAGTTCCTCTCTATAGCTACAGGGTCATTTTCTGTCTGGTTGGTGGCAAAGAGGGTAAAGCCCTATGTTGGTGGGACATCATCTCAGATAGGAGGATGACAGCATCTAGAGAGGCCTGCAGGTGGAGGGAAGGGTGAATGGTGAATGGGCTACACTTTTTCTTAACATTCCCCGTTTCTTTTTGTAGCTAAGTGTGAGCTAGTCACTTGGTAAGAAGAGAAGCCCTCCAGTTCCTTCACCATCAAATGCAGGACTCTGTTAATAGTCCAGGTGTCCAGAGAGAATGAAAACTGGTTGGGGCCACAACAGCTGTCACTGTACTAAGCTCCTTAAGAGCCATGTGATCCTCTGCCTGCTCCTCTCCTTCCTGGGCTGGGGGCACCTCCCCCCGCCCCCAGGGAGTCCCCCAGGTACACTATCTCTTGCCCCAGCATCCACGCTGTGACAGGCCCCTGGCTGGCTGCTATAGCTCCCCTCTCGTTGGTAGAGAACATGATTTCACTTCCACTCCCCACCACCTGCTTAGAAGTTGCCCTGCTTTTCACTTGTGCCTTTGGGGTGCTTCTGGAATCCAACTCTCTCCCGGCCCCTTTGGGTCATTGCCTCTTCACCTAGCTTCTCTCCAGGAGGCCTCCAGGCATTCAACTTCTGGAGCTTCATGCACATAAGCTCCACATCCCTGATGAACCCAGGCTCCCAGTGGAGGTGCTGTGCCCCTGCAGGGATGAACAGACACTGAATGTGGTGTGTGACATGTGTGCCTTGGAGGCTCCAACCTCCCTGAGGGCAGTGATTGTCCTATCGTGTGTTAATGACAGGAGCTCTAACCTCAACAGTGGTCAGAGGAGAAAATGCCTACTAGCTGCCAGAATAGGAATGGTTGGTGACCTTGTGGCTTCCCTGTTCTGAGAGTGTCTGTGCTCACAGATGGGGGCCTGAGGCCTCACATTGATGGCATGTTTGGCCCTTCAGAAGTCTCTCTGTACCCCACGCCACTGACACCTCACAGCTGCCCTGTGACAGAAGCTGGCAGGGCCCCTTCTTACAGGTGTCCTGCCATCACCTGAGACCCAGCAGGTCTGGAACTGAGCTCGTCAGCTGCCCTAAGCAGGTCTGGCTTCTGAGCACTCACAACCTTACCGGCCCCGGGCTCCTGGGTTTTGAATATGATACACCTTTGACTCATGTGTCACTTCACACCACCTCCCATGGGTCCACCCAACCTGCTCTTTGCCAAGTACAAACTCATCCCTGGGCAGAAGGCCTGTGGGCCTCCTCTTATGGGCCTTCTGTTGCAGGGGGTTGTAGCCTGGACCCTCCAGGCTTGGCACCTTCTAACTGTCCTCTCCCTTCTACCCTGGTAGTAAGGCCCCAAATGGGGCCTGCCTATTCAAATACGAGATCTTCTTAAAGATCTGATATGTTTACATCTGAGGCCACTTGGTTTGTTGTGCACTGGCAGTGGGTGTGATTCCCAAGCTCCTCTTATTAATTGCCCTCGTTACACTTATGTGAATTCTGTGAAAGGTTTTGACTCATCATGAGCAGCTGGATGCTCTGGTGTAATCTCATCAACCACTTTGATATTTGCCAATCACATCCTGCCCTTACATGCTTCTCCACCCTTCCATCCCCTCTGCCTGGAATAGCATTCTCCCCCTTATCTTCTGGGAAAACTTCTACTCATCCTTCAAGACCCAGAGAAACTGCATACCGGCCTCTATCAGCTTACCCCATACTGTGTCATCGTTAATTTGTTTATACTTTTGTCTTCACTAGACTGCATGCTCCGTGGGGACAGAGACTAGGTCTGATTTGTCAATATCTCCCCAGTACCCAGCACAGCAGGGTTCAGGGAATGTGGGTGAAAGGGATCTATCAATTTATTCACAAGTATTCACTCATAAGCTTCCTTTTGCCAGGCACTGTGCTGGGCACTGGGCATATAGGGGTGAACAAGGCAGACAGGGCCCCACTGCCTCCATGGAGAGGGTGAGCAAGGCCAGTTGGCAAGCACACAAGTATACGGACGAGATACTTTGGAACTGCTGCACTTGGAAGGGGCTGCTATAGACGGAGGTGTGCAGGGAAGGCCTGTCTCAGATGACACATGGGAGCTGACACCCGGAAGATGAGAATAAATGAGCCATGCAGAGAGCTGGGAAAGCGAGCTCAGGGCTGAGTGGATAGCAGGTGTGAAGTTTCAGAAGAAGACATGGTCTTGGAGTATCGGCGGGGGGCGGGGGGGGGGT